TCCTGAGTACCTTAGAGAGGTCCCTAACAGCAGACTTTCCCATTGCGATACGCTTTTTGATTTCCTGACTGCTGGTGCCAAGAGTGTTGTAGGAAGTAGTATTTGTGAACCTACATCAACAAGTATTTTTTTAAGAATAAAGTGGTAATTAAAGGAAAAGGATAAAAATCTTTAAAAGGTGTGGCTAATTACTAATGTAGCTAAACACTCAACCTCCCTGCCATCAAATCAGTTCCTAGTGGACGCACAGTGACCTTCCCTTTGAGATTCTGAGGCTTCAAATCACGAGAGAAGAATGTTTTCCCTGAGGAACCACTGGTGGATATGAATCGCTGGAGACGCACAACCTTTGGACCAGCAGCATGACTCCCCACAGACCAAGTCACCAGGGTTCCCTGATAATACAGTTAATAAGGTCATAATTCAGTGTAGGGAGATTTCTCTTGTAATCACATATTACAATTTTGTTGTTAGTATTCATGTGATTTAAGAAAGAACACATTTAAGCAACTTCCAACTATCTTATGTATTATCTAGTTTCCAGGCACAGACGGGATCATCCTGAATTATTGGAAAGGCCACAAGTTCTCCATCCCCTTTGTGGCAATGAAAATACACCCTTACAACCACCATGTTGCAGCAGGGAGGAAACAGGGGTCCTTACTAGTCTGAGCAGATAGGGAAACTCCATGTCACCCAACCTTTTCTGTCCTTTATTTGTATTTATTAATATGAAACAAAAATGGAGGATATTTTAGAAGTAAAACTGGTAGCAAACATCACTAAGGATTCCACAGGGTTTGAAAGAGGAAGAGGTCCACGGGGTGATATAAGTTATGGCACTGGTGACATGGCTCTAGTGACGCCACTGAATGTTGGGGTTCCCTGAAAAATCTTTTTAATCCCGAGACACCCTAGTCTGAAGTCTATTACCCCCACTGAACGCAACACCTCTCCAGTGGTTTGAACCTAGCAGTGGCTCAGCGGGAGAAAGACAGGAAGGTTCCTCCTTGGGAACCTGAGGGAAGGTCACTCAGGGACTGGACGTGGGGCCACAGCAGTGAGTTTAGGTTCTGGCTTTTATTAACCTAAAGGTTGGTGGTTCAAGCTCATCTACGGGTACCAAAGAAAAAAGGACTGGCCACCCGTTTCCACAAAGGTCACAGCCAAGAAAGCCCTAAGGAGTAGTTTGCCCTGGGTCAGAATGGACTCAACAACATGTTTGCTTGGCTGGCAATCTACTCCACTCACTTCTCTAGATTTCACAGAGGAGGGCTTTCCAGTTTTAGACTGAGGCCTTACTACGTTAAACTCTAGGGTATTTTCTATCTTATTGCCTGGTTGGTTGCCTAATGGTAAGGTGCTGTCAATCCAGAGGCACCCAGTTCAAATCCACCAGCTGCTCTGAGGGAAAAAGATGGGTCATTTCCTCCCGTGCAATTTCTGCCTCTGAAAACTTTCTGGAGAGTCAGCTGTGCGTTATCGGTTCCAACTCAACAGCACATAAAAACAACAACATTCTGTTCATTTTACTGGAACACACCCACTCCAGCTGCGTACTGTTCAGTACATTGAACTCATTAATGGCTGCAAATAGAGTTTGAAAACGTCTGGACTGGAGGAATTACCTCTGAGGGGACAGCATGATACTCATGGAGGCAAAGTTTATCTTTGTCATTCTTTCTGCTCCCTGGGACTCAGTTTTTCTAGCTTTCTCTAGGCCATTTGATTTTCTCAAAGCTTAGATTTGCTTGATTGGTAACTCACAGGTTGGAAGTTCAAATCCACAAGAGGCTCCGTAGCGGAAAGCACTACAACTTGCCTGAAAAACGAGCCATTAAAAAAAAAAAAAACCTCCGAGGAGCACAGTTCTGCTCTGACACAGAAGGGGACCCCATGAGGCACAGTTGACTCCCTGGCAACAAGGCCTGCACCTCTGCAGTCCCCACCTGAATCTAACGGTTTTATTTATCCTCAGAGGGCAAAAGGCTCCTGCTCTCGGAGATGGCTCTGTCTTCGGGTAGCCTCCTTTCAGTTTTTGCATTAGTGGGTTTCTCAGCTCATGTGGGTTTCTGGTGGCACAGTGGCTGAGGCTGCTAATCCCCAGGTCAGCCACTTGATCTCAGCAGGTGCTCTACTGCGATGAAGGGCTCCGAGACCCAGGTTGACCCTGTTCCGTCCTTCTGGGTGCTGCGAGTCGGAATCAGAACCGAGCAGATGGCAGTGGGTTTATTAGGTTTCTGTCCCTTGCAGTTGTCGGGGGTCCCACGTGGGGAGATGCTGGTATGGATTCCGGTCCCTGACACCACTCACCTTTGACCTTCAGCATCAGGTACTTGTAGTCCCAGGCAGTCCCAAAGATGATCAAGCAGCGGTACCGGCCCGCGTCCCTCACTTGGACTCGGGGGATATGGAACAGGGCCTTCCCCAGCGGCAGCTGCTCCTCCAGAAACTGGACTCTTTCATTGTTGTTGAAGGAGGTGCCGTTTTCCATCTTCTGAAAATAGACTTGCAGTGCTTCAGGTGTCACAGGCCCTCCGGTGGTAAAGTCACATTCCAGGGTCGCGTTGCTGCCATGGTCTACCAGGTACAATTCCTTGGGGACAGATACTGTGAAAAGTGCTGAAAAGGAAACAAAGACGTTCGGTGTTTCCCTTCATACTCAGTTCTGCACAGAGGGAAGGTGCCCTTGTTCCTAGATCCCTACCACGGCTTGGGCAGCCCTAAGCCCCACCAAGTCTGGACAAGGGTGGGTATATTCGCCCATCACTACCATGTGGCTGTGTCCCTCCTGCTGCTTCCTGCCCCCTGGGCAGCCCAAGCACAGTTTCTTGTTAGCACCTTCTATCTCATTCTCTGGACCATTCCTTCCATGTGAACAGGATTTCTCCTATGCTGTCCCAACTGGCAAGGGCCCATCCCATCTCACTTCAACGCCTGCATTTTCTGGTTTATCATCCTCAGGCCACATGCACTCCTTTACATCTTTCCCTGCTGGATGCTGCCTCCTATCAGTGGGGACGGTCACAGTAAAGCTGTCTTGGGTTCTTACAGCATGTTGGCCCAGGCTGGCACCCTCTCTCACTAGGTCTTCCCGGAAGCCTGCACAGTCAATGCTAAGGCTGTCTTCTTTTTACAGAGAATGGTACTGAGGTGCACGGAGGTGAAGCAGCTCGTGCAAGATCACGCTGAACCCCACTGCATGGGCCCAGGCAGACACTTCCTCTTTCCTGTCAACATGGAGAAAGGAAGACGGGCGCTAACTTTTCGTATGTAAATACCATGTGCCAGGTCCCGAGTGAGTCTTTCTTCCTAGTTTATCTTAGTCAGAAAGCTCCACTGAAACCTGACAACAGCAGGCCTCCACTGACAGATGGTGGTGGCTGAGGAGCATTGGCTGAGATGGAACCCAAGACGCAGGCACGGAAGGCGAAAGGCTGTCCCACTGAAGCACACTCCCCACCCCGTGTCCTCTTACTTTGCTCCTGACAACAGCAAACAGGGAAGAGAAATGAGGCGTTCAAAGTAGGTTAGTTGCTGAGTCTGAGCCTCTACAAGAATGCGGTGGAACATGTCGGGTCTAGACGCCAGCGAATCTGCTTAGCAATTTGTGGACCACACTTGAGCTTTCTTCTCATGGGTGTAGTGATGTGTGGAGTTTCCGCTGGAACTCCCCTTTCTATTGCTTGTGCCTTGGACAAAAATTCATTTCTGCCTTTTTTGCCACTCTGGCTTGTGTTGTTTTTACCTTCTCACTATGATTTGAGTGTAAGTTTACAGAGCACATGGTATTCCCTTTAACCACTCACGTACATTTTGTTTTCTGGCGTTGTTATAGTCTCAGCCTTGGAGCACCACTCTTCCCACTTTCTCTGTGGTTCCTGTTTGTTCCAATCCCTCTATCCTCTCCCTGCCCACATCCATCTTTGGACAAATGCTGCCCTTGTGATCCTCTGTAGCTGAGGACCTCCTTGTTATTATCGTTCACCTCAAGTTGTTGTTGGGTGCCATCCAAGTGACTATGAAACATAGTGACCCTGTGAATCACAGATCTGAAACTAGGCCTGTCCTGCACCATCCTCCCAATCTCCGCCTTGCTCAAGCCCTTTGCTGCAGTTTCCATGACGGTCCACCTCAGTGAATAGCTTCCTCTTTCTCTGACCTTCTACTTTGCCCTTTACGACGTTGTTGTTAGGTGCCATCGGGTTAACTGAGTCTCACAGTGACTGCATGAACAGGTGTGAACTTCCCACATAACTGCCATCCTCCTCAAGCCCACTGTGCTGGTCACTACATCGATCCATCTTCTTCTCTTTTGTCAACCTTCAACCGTTCGTGGCATTATCTATCTCTCCAAGGACTGGTTGCTCCTGAAAATGTGCCCATAGCAAGTGAGATGAAATTTCACCATCCTTGTCTCTAAAGGGTGTTCTGATTGTGTTTCCTTGAAGACAGATTTATTTGTTCTTTTGGCAGTCCATGAGATCAATACTCATCACCAACGCACAATTCCAAGATATCAATTGTTTTGTCTCCCTTATTTGTTATGCAACTTTAAGATGCATAGTAAGTAACTGAAAATACCCAGGCCTGACTCAGGTGCACCTTAGTCTTTAAAAGGAATCCTTGCTCTTTAGAATTTTGGAGTGATCCTTGACAGCAGATTTCCGTAAGGCAACACATCTTCTGATTCCTTGACTGCTGTTCCCATGGGTGTTGTGGATCCAAGTAAAATGAAGTGACTGACAACTCTAATTTTTTCTCCAGTATCTATCATGATATTGCCCATTGGTCCAGTGGTAAGGATTTTTGTTTTCTTGATGTTGAGATATAATTCATATCAAAAGTTGTAGTCTTCAATCCCACAAGGACAAACATTGTATAAATAGAATAAGTATGAGGATCCAAGCGGGGAGTGGAAGCAGAGGGGTGAGGATGTGTAGAGCAGGAGGGAGGGGTGTGGATTAGTCATGGGATTGTTCAATTTGATGGATATGAGGGGAATTTGAAGTATCTGGCCTGAAAAACAATATGATTTTGTAAATAAGCTAGTATAATTAAAACAAAAGTTATAGTCTTTGATCTCGTTCAGTAAGTGCTTCAAATGTTCTTTGCTTTCTGCAAGCAAGGATGTGTGTCTGCATTAACACAGGTTGTTGGTGAGTCTTCCTTCAGTCCTGATCCCACACTGTTTTCCATCTAGCCCAGTCGATTTGCTCATCATACAGATTGAGTAGAATCTGACACACGACTCTGCTGATTTTAAATCATGCAGTGTCACCTGGCTCTGTTCGGACAACTGTCTCTTGGTCTAGGTATACATTTTGCAAGAGCACAACAGAGTGCTCTTGGATTCCCATTCGCCAGAATTTGTTTTGAGCCACACAGCCAAATGCTTTTGCACAAATAGACACCTTCCTGGTGTTCTCTGCACTCAGCCAGCATCCATTCAGTGATATCCCTTTTGCCATGGTCTCTGCAAATTGGGTACACCTTATACATTTGTTTGTTGCTTGGCTGTAAGCTGGGCCACAGGAGTGAGCCCAGTTCCAGGCTCAAAGGGTGGCAAAGTTCTTTTCCATTCTTGCTTTTCTACTTTGTAGGTATAAAGCACTTGTTGTCCACAGAAGGGAGACAATTAGCAAAGGCATGAATGGTGCTTCTTCTGAGTAGCTCAGAATAATTAATTGTTACTTGGCACATTTTTGCCCCCCAATGACAGCTGCTAGGACATGCAAACAACAATGATGACTCCCTTGTGTAAAGCCAGGAATTTAGGAGATGCGATGTACTTTTAAAATCACCAAACACTTTTACTTATTGTGAATTAAAAGGAGGATCAGAAATTTAGCAGAAAACACAGGTTTTCCAATTCGGCTGGGGCCCTTGATTCATTTAAGGGGCAAAGGACTTGTTCAAAGCAAGAAGAATCACACATGCTGCTCCTTCAGGGCAATCAGGCCCAAGAATGCAGGCACTTCTGAAGAGAGCATTCCTAGTGAGCTCTGAATTGTTTGCACATGGGAGTCACAGCTGCCACCCCTCCAGGAAGCGCAGCCCAGGTGCTTTGCATTAGCTCCCAAGATAGCTTCTACTTTAAGCTAATTTTACAAATAGTTTATTTATTTCTTTAACAACAGAGGTTTACGTTTTTTCAGACTTCTACTTAATGTACTCGAACCATGGAGGCCAGGGAGGAAACCAAAGATGGAGACCTAACCCAGTCACATTCTATAAAAATTCAATAGCTGCGATTAAGGGCAGAAAGCTTCCCTTGTCTGTGTAGGACACTCAGTACTGAGACACACTGCTTTTTTCCTTCCATTGACTCATACTTCATGTCCAATCCTTCTCCATGGACTGACTGCAGGAGCAGCTATGGAAACTAAAGTGAGGTGGAGTGAGCGACCCAGAATGTGGTCTCAACACAGATTTCAAGCGTCACCATGGTTACACCCTCCCCTCCCCAGTTTTCATCCATCTCTGGAGGATGAAGAGAGAGGAAATATTAATAAAATAATAAAGACTGAGGTCGTTGTTTCCTCAAAATGATGATAAGGTACAAAATTAGAATATCCCCCAGATGAATCTGGTTTACACTATGTCCTTAGGATTTGAAAAGAACCTAAAAAAACCATATTAATTTAAAACAGACATGATAATATGTTATTGAAGAATGAATATACACCATAGAATCCATAATAGACTCACAGAAACAATGACTATTCATTTTTTACAAAAGTATAAAGATAATTCAATAAAGGTCAATCTTTTCAACTAAGGGGTTTAAAACAACTGGACATCCATATGCAAAAACAAATATCTCCACCTTCACTTATCTTTCATATAATACACAAAAAGTAATACAAAGAGATCAAAATCTATCTGTAAAATGCTTAACTATAAAAGGCTTACAGGAAAATATTGGAGAAAATCCTGGAGACTTTGGATTAGGAGAAAAGTTTTAGATGAGACCCCAAAGGCACAATCCATAAAATTACAAAAAAAAATTGATAAACTGGGCTTCGTCAGAATTAAGATTTTTGGCTTTGCAAAAGACATTGTTAACAGAATGAAAAGAAAAAAAATAATAGGCTGAAGAAATATCCATAATTACATATGTGATAAAAAATTTGTATCTGGAATATTTAAAGCACTCTGAACATTTTACTTAAAAAAAGACACACGGAAACCCAAAAAACAAACCACCTAAAAAAATGACATCTGAACATCAAGAAAACAAAAATCCTCACCGCTAGATCAACAGGCAACGCAATGATAAATGGGGAAAAGAATGAAGTTGTCAAAGACAAGTATAATGCAAGTTACAAATCTGACAAACACTTCCTTGATCTGAAACCACAAATATATTCCCTTTTCTGTTAGAAAGACTGCCTCCCAGTCTCCTCTATTGCTCAATTCCAACACTGCTTCCACATTAAAGAAATATTAGGGCAGCACTCAAACTCTTCATAATCAAATCTGTCTAGTTACCTAGCACAGCTACACAGAAAAGATACAAGTGGAAGACTTGACAAACCACAACTTACTCTCCCCCAGCTTAGGAGGCTAGAAGTCCACCCGGGCACTGCTCTGGGGATAGGGTTTCTCTCTCTCTTGCC